TTATTTTTTAGTGGAAGAGCAGGATACTCGGACCAAATTATTACGCCTCAGCCTTAAAAACTTTAGTTATAGAAGAGAACTTTGAAAGACCCTCACAGTAGTGATGACTATATCCCAATCATAGACGTGCCATTGTATGAACCAGATGCCTCTTTTACTGTCGTTGTTGATTCCTCTTATATTGGTTGTGGCGACTTTGAGTAATAGCGAGTCGGTGTTGTGTCGCGAGTTTATATTTGGTCGATCTGCTTTACTGCTTTGATCTTTCGTTTTTTGTGGTCCGTTGTTGTGTTCATGCTCTTCTGAGACTTGTTTGCTTGTGCTTGATTTGTTACTCATTGTTGAATACTAGTCATATCGGGGTGGCTGTTTTGATCTGACAGATTGTTACTGAATAGCTCCACGAATTGTGCCATCGTTTCTCCCATTTTGTTGAGTTTTTCGTTGATCTGGCTTTGAGTTGTTTTGATGTCTTCTGTCTCGGTTAGTTGTTCTGTTGTGGAAATTGTGGAGTCAGAGGTTGATTCTGTGTCTTCCTCCATTTCATTCATGTGTCTGTGTGCTGCGTCTTTCTCTAATGTACTAACTCTTTTCTCTAGTTGACTCATCTGATGTTATACTTCAGTTATTGTTTCTTGTATGTGGTGGATGAGGGCAAAAAGCACGCCGTTTGAGGGGCAGCTCATGTTGTCCTCTCGAGTTACATCGGCGTAACTTCTGTTGAATCCGTCGTGCCTATACTGGTTTCCGTTATTGTAGTGTGTTTTCTCTCGATATGTGGTAAATCTGTCTCTAGGATGTGTCCCATATCTTGTGCGAGTGCTGTCCGGAGGTTTAACATTGCAGTTTGCGATCATATGTTGAGTGTCCCTGCAGTAGTGACAAAGTTTCGCTGTTCTGGCCGCCCATATGAGCTTGTGTCCTTTGCAATCGATGTCGCTTGCCGTTGCTTTGGTGAGGTCCTCCTGGGAGGCGAAATTTAAACTTGCGAACCTTCTGCGCGATTCGTTTGTTTGCGGTGTGTAACACGCTTTGGCGCCGACTTGTTGCATGATGTCACTGAGGTCGTGAGCTATCATCGAGTCTGGAAACTTTGTTAGTGTAATGCTGAATTCATCTCTTTCTAGTTTTGTTTCTTTTGTACGGTAGTATGGGAGCATTCTCATTGTCGTGCCCTCAACCGTTACTGACCAGTCGTTTACGACTGTGTCGTAATCCAATTGGTGAGTAAAGGTTACTACTGCTGACTTGTGTGGTCCTGTTGTTTGCATCTAAATGTACTCAATAGGACCGAATTTGGTGGCTCCTGTTGTGATATCTCTCTTGGAAAAGTGTTGGGGGATATCCCAGATTCTGACTGATTTACGATTGGTTTTGTATGTGTTTAGTGTTGGTGCTAACCTTGGTTTGGAGTTTTCAAACTCCGATATTGGGTCTGTGCATGCTTCCTCGGTATCTGTGTAGTTACTAAAGATGACCGCGATGTTTGGTTCTCCTGTTGGCTCTTCCACTCTGACGTGTTTAAGGGAGGACCTACTTGCCATTCTCTCCCATATGAATCAGATTTTTTTCTGGTTGTCTTTCCCAGGTACTAGATCAAGCGTGAAAAATACTTTGCCGCTGTGAAGTGTGTTCACGTTTTTGTTGTTGTTGTTAATGTTGTCATTGCTGTTGCTGTTGACGTTGTTGATGCTGTTATTGCTGCCCTGGACTGATGTATCTGGTACCTTTCCTTTCCCTTTCTCGGCATAGGTGAAAGTTTTGTTCTCCTCTTCTTTTTTTTTTTTTTTTTTTTTTCCTTTTTCTCCTCTTCCATTTCATCTGCATGCTCTGGGTTTGCTGTCGGTCTTGTTTCTGGGTACTCCTGGTTGTTGGTTCGACTATCCTCAGTATCTGAAAGGTTTCCTACCATGTTGACATCAGTCGTATCTGTTTCTAGCACACTCATGGACTTCAGGTGTCTGTGGTTCAGGATATTCGTTTTCTGTGTTATGTCCGCTTTTCTGCTACTGATTGGTGTTGGTCTCTTGAAAGGGGTTGTTTTCTTGACAGTTGATGTCTTCTTAACGATTTTTCCATTGTTCCTTGCAACTAAGTTATTATTGTATTCGGGTGTTGTGTCTCTAAAGAGCTGCGCAGAGTGCGCTGGCTAGACATATTGTTTAAAGCTTTCTAATTTGGTAATTTAATAGAGTGGGAAAGAGTGTCGATGATATGAATTATTTAAAAATAATCATATAATTGTTTTGATTAATCATTAAATAATTGTAAAGCAGTATTATAAAAAATTGATACAATAAAACTTTTTGTGATTAGAAATGAGAATTAAAAAGTAAAGGATAAGAATTATATGAAGTTAATAAAAAAGAAGATTTTTTTCTAAAATCTAATAATAATATTTTTATGTAATTATTTTAATAACTAATTATTTAATATTGATATACTTTTTTTATATAAAAACTCTTGATGTAAGCTTCAAAATAAATACTTATTTATTAAATAATATTATATATTGATGAAGATATCAATATTTTAATTTTTTTAAAATTTTAAACTTAAAAATTTAAATTAATAATTTTGTGATAAAAAATTACATAATAATCAATATCTATTATTTACATGTTCAAAATTTAATGCTATATTATAAGGACAATAAATCTATACCTTAAATTTTGGTTCACTTTCAAAAATAATTCCCTAAATAATAAAATAACTGAAATAATCAAAATAACAAATAATAAAGGTTGAGGGTCTATTATCCTTTTTGCCAACCTCCTTAATTCGCGATCGACAGGACGATGTTTTAAAGCCACCAATCAATTGTTCTTTTCCAATAACTATAGTAATTAATTATAAAAAAAAACGCCAAAAAAAATTGCACCATCAAAAATCATAAAATTAACAAATTTTTTATTAAATAAATAAAAAATCAAATAATTTATTAACGATTAAATATAAAGTCATGTAAAATACAATTGCTTTTTTATTAAACTATAATTATTCGAAGCCAAAAGATATAAGTGGTGCGTTTTTTATGACGGCTAGTGTATTAAATATTGATTTCCGGGTAAAAACAGATGTTAATATTTAGTCAAAACGTTGATTTCGCTTTCTTTCATATGATTAGGGGAGTGGACAATTATACTTTATTATGACGAACATATTTAAAATTTGCTATTTCCGATTCACTTATCTACTTAAATTTAATACACACAAAATAGAAATTAAGCGCTATCGAAAATTCATATATTTCTCATAAATTTCTTTGGCTGTACTGAGTTCTATCCATAATTTCGAGATATTGGATAATATTTTATCTTTTCTTACATGGCGTTAACTTAATCCCTAGTCTACTGTATATCCATGTATAACTTTCTATTAATTATTTAAACTTTTTTTAACTGTGCACATCTCTTAAATTCAAGAATAATAAATATTGCTTATTAACGAAGCGTAAGAACTTAGGTTCATAAAAATAATCATTTTTACTTTCTTTCTAACACTTCATTGGTGAATCATATATCGTATATGAATATTAATTTTCGTTATTATCATTATTGATCAACTAACAATATGTTATTTATGTCAATATACATTTGCACAATGAATATAACAAAAATTTCAGGACTTAAAATAAATTTTACGAGTTTGACTGAAATAATTTCAAATAATACGAGTTATATAATATTAATTATTTGCAATCTTTATATTTTGACTTTAATAATCAACAAGTTTTATGACAACCCATATCTCGGCTACCCACAAAGTACCTAAAATTATAAAAAAAATCTGCGTGAAGTATTAAATTTCTGAAAATTTTCGACAAT